CAACTTGATCCATAATTAATAGTCAGCAAATACCAGATATGTTCACTAGACTGACGAAAATTCTACATGCCAGACTTAATACACTACAGAAACTGCACCTACCCACACTGTTTTAATTGTGCCACACTAGCCTACTTACCACCACATAATATTCCAAGACATAAATTACTATCCCTTATATTATGCGATACATATGCAATAAATCATTTATCTATGGTGAAATAAAAAGAAAGTGAGAAACACCATTCAAAGATTTTTTATAGTGGGTCTTGGTTCTTTATGAGTAGACAAGTGGATTTGTTGAGTCCTGTGCATGGTCCACAAAAGTAATCAACTAAAAATTCTTTCTGGAATATTCCGCTGGCACACCATCAGTAAGTGATCTTTCTTTTCATTGTACGTTGTATATTACTCTTTTCAACTTCTTCTGAAGTTATGATTGACACGAAAACTCAGCATGTTTATCAGTCTCATGACATGGTGGATTGAAGCTGCACAAAGTAATGTTGCCATATAAAATTACCATGAGAGTGAACTTAAAATTCTCAAGTCCATATTTTGTTACACAACTTTTTTTTTTCCAGATGCCATTATATCACTTTTGAATTTCTTGCATAGCATATCTTCCTGCTGGCATTTTCTGTGAACCTGTAGATACACAACAGAAATACTCAGATTTTCTCTTCATCACCAAATCGAAAATGGTTCTGAAATCCATCTGTCTAAATTGATTGCTTGCTCCTTTGTGACTTCATGGTGTGTGGGGCTTAAACACAACAGGACAGTCTTTCATCATACTGTCATGTGATAAGTGACCAGACATTGGGGTTAAGACTGGTAACTGGATTTACTCGACACTGAATTGTCTTATTTTCAAATAATTACATAGTTTCCAGGTAAGCATTATTGTTCCACAATCTGCAATATCACTACTGCTTTGTTCCTTACTGGCTGTCATCAGACATGTTGCTATATTTTGGGCTCTGAAAACAAGCACTTCTTTGTTAGCTTGCAGGCTCTCTGTATATTGCTTTGTTGTGAACTGATTAGAAAACAGTGCCCCTAACAGTTCCTTGACCAGTGTGTGTATATAAGATTGTTGGGGATTGGTGCATGACAGTACGTAGCAATGGGTAAACCTGTGACATTTCTCTGATCACAAGCTTCTGATTTTTAGGCATCCTATCACAACACATAATGTGTTTCTAATTTCATGAAGCTCAGTAACACAGAAAGTATAGTTAAACTGACTTTGAAAAGTAGGATGCCACATTGACATAATTGTTATTTATTGAATCAAAGATTTCTGTGTCCACATTAAAAAGGTAGTTTCAGAAACTTTGATGTATCTAAACTATTAGTTTAGTTGCAACAAAAGTTGTGACTTAGGCACAAATGAATTTCTTTGCAATGGAAGTAAATATTCTCCAAAGTCTCAAACTCAAACATTGAACTTAAGTTTCTGGGGGTGGGGAATCCAAAACGAACTTTTAGAAATCTAAAGGCTGGTCTGTCACATTCACAGTACGAAGTGGCTGCTGTGGGTAGCTCTCAGAATTTGTTCCCTTACATAAACTCAATGCATCATTTATATGAAACACTGAACTACAAGGAACTAAATGGTCTGTTCTCATAATTCAAAGATCACACAATGACAGAAAACTGCAGTTGTGTGTAACAAAGTTTCATTTTGAGCTCCTGAAATTCACTAATCCCAACTTGCATATATGCAAAAAAATTATAATGGGTTCTTTTGGCCTCTTGTTGAAAAAATCATAGATAGACTGGGACTAAGCGACTAAGTTGAGAGCGCTGTGTACTATACTAACTGCCAATGTGAAGAACTCCACACTCCTACACAGATGCAGATGTATAGTAACTTGTATTACAGTTAACATGTAACAGTAATATTCAGAGGGAAGACAAGTCACTTTCTGTGTTAGGGATTTTCTTGAATTGTAAAGAATAATAATTTTATATTATTTGTGTGAATTTGATGTACTGTTACAACTTATTGATAAGGGGAGTAAGATGAAATATACTGTATCTAAAAATGTGAATCAAGATATATTTATTTATTTATTTCAGTTATGAGTATTTTTTGTAACTCAAATTTTGTAGGAATCAATGAAATGTTTATATTAATACAGCTTCTGGTAAAAGAAAAATGTTTTAATCTAAAATCATGGAATCACACCTGAGAACATACTTTTAAGCGTTCATCAGATTTTAATACATAAAACAATTAATACAATTAAATAAGTATTTCAACTCAACATAAAGAACTATTAACCTTAATGAATAATGGAAGCAGGCATCTTTCTGTTTTTACATAAGATGCTGGTCACAAGCAATTCCCAAACAGTAACTATGTTCAGATGTCACTAGATGCATATAAATTTTGACTGCAGTCTGATAAACAATTCAGATTAAAGAGATTTCTGCATGGTTCTTGTGTATTATAATATAGAAATGAGAAATTCCCTAGAGAATCTAAATACTGTGTTGGTAATTCAGATTGGTACTGTTCTAATCATGCACTAAATTTGTATGTAGTTGTTGGCAATTCCAATGTTTGCCATGAATTTCAGGTAAAATAGAAACAGGCAATCACAAAGTAATGTTAACCTTATATTTTTTATTGTTGTTGATATCCGATAATGTTTTGAAATAACGAAATACACAGTCAAATGGGCCAGTATTGAATAATTTAGTTGAAACCTATTTTATTAGAATGGCCCCTGCTGGAAAGAGGAAGGAGCTATTAGTTCTCAAGGGCTTCTATGAGGGTTCTAGGAGTGTAAGATTGAATGATATCGCTTAATGGGGGTGAACAGCTGTCCATCAAGAAGAAAAAATGTCTGACCAGCAGAAAAGACTGGTCACTAAGAGGTCTCTTTTGTGGGAAAATGAGGACTTGGTAGTGGGGGGCTTTGCTGTCCGTGTTGGTGAATGGCAGAGAGCATGCAGGATATCCTGTTAGCAGTAGGTGCCCCACTTGGTTGAACATAGATCCATTACCTTTGAATAAGATCTAAGAGTTAGGACATGGATAATGTCCAGAAACATAATATTTGTACTATCACCTTTGGCTCTGCATGGGTAGAGCCGATGGCAATTAATAGGGTCTTAATCTAGGCTGTAGTCAAGGGAGTTCGTTTCTAAGAACATGTAATCTGAAAATGCAGGTTCCAAGAAGTCAATTATATGTGTCTTAATATTTTTAGTCATTCAAGTGAATTCTGACAGAGCAGCCATGAAGAAAGGGATATGAGACTCCAACGCCATTTCCATGCAACAAACTGGATATGTTTCACAAGCCCAATAAATTTGCTTTAACAGGATTTTGTTGTAAATCAGAACAGTATTCAGTCCTTGGTTAATGGATCCCTGGGGGCATGACATTTCTTACACTAAAAGTGAGTTATGCAAAATTACACCAAAAAGTTTATGATCTTATAAAACTACATAATTACTTTATGATGAAGTAATGCTATGACACATTCAACATATACAGTGGTTGTGTGGAACAATTTCAAACAGACAGATATTGGGTTTTCGGACTTTATCCATCGTCCTGGTTTTAAGATAACTAAGAAAAGGGACCCAACAGAATAGGTGTTTTCCCTCAACTGAGGATGGAAACAGATCCAGTTTCTGAAACGTCGTGTTTTTCTTAGTTATCTTAAAACCAGGATGCTGGATAAAGTCCGAAAACCCAATATCTCTGTGTGTTATACATCATCATCAGAATCCTATAGTAACTAATTTCAAACAGATATAAAATGGATATAAACTACTGTTTCACCCATAATCACATTAAGTTCTGCAAGGTCTAAACTTTCTTACCCTAAGTATGGTTATTTAATACTGAGAATTCACAGAATACACTGTTTATATTGGGGTTTGGCTCGAACCAGGTTTCATCAATGCAGAAATGCTAAACTGGGATTTCAGTGTTTCAAATACAGGATTTTCCACAGGGTCACTTACTGAAAATTCACAAACCATGAGAATGACTATAATTAACTGTATCCTAGTTTAATATGCCTACCACAAGTTTCTTTGGTGATGTGCCACTTCTGAAGTAGGCCAGTGTTAACTGCAACTATAAGTCCATTTTTACATGATGATGCATACGAGTATACAAATTTTCTTAAGGGATGCTTATTATCTAGTCAGTTAACAATATTTATTTAAGCCATGAAAGGAAGTTATTAGATTTACATTGAGTTATATTACATTTTGGACTGATTTGTCAATACTGAAAATATGGATTTTGAAGAGAACTATGTCACCAAAGTATTTTGAAAGAATTTTATACAAAAGATTGCAATTAGGGACTGCATCTGGTGACTCTTCTGTAGAGCAACAACAGTAACTGCAAGTGGTAAGAATACAACTTCATGCATCCTTTTCTTAATGGGAAACTGTGGTATCATTTATGTTGGAGAATTGCAATGAATTTTAAAAATATCGCCATTTTTAAATTTAGAGGAATAACCCATAGCTTACTTTGTAATTAAATTACTTCAAATTGAAGTCATGTTACAAGGCCCAAATCCATTGTTAACACTTCCTTAAACCATCAGGATGTTAGAATTCTTTGATGAAAATACGCAATACAGAAAGATAACCACTAAGTTCCCACTTGAACAAAATACAAGAAAATTTTCTTGTTTTCCATACTCAGAAATTAATGGAGCAGCTGGAAATAGTGAGCAAAAAGAAACCTGGTTAATGGAGGAATGATGCAGATATTTCTTCTCATCTTCTTGTCTTGACATCAAGGAATCACCTTGCCACAACTCTCTGATCATTTTAGTTTGATAAAATGTATGTTTTTACATAAGAAATAATACTCACTCTGCTACTTAAAACTTCTTACTGCGCCTTCATTTGGTCTGTTGCTTGGTAATTCATGCTCTTACTGAGGATGAAATGCAGCTGTTGCAATTTCAATAAGGGTGTTTGTTTTTTTCTTTTGCAGAACCCTGAGATTAGATCAAGCTCAATTTTAATCAGTCAAAATTACAATTTCAACAAAGAAAGCATAGACATAAGGCACATAATGCTCAACATCTGCAGATTTTACAGAAATAATTTTAACATCAGCATATAATGAATAACTAGTGGCTTTTGACATTGTCAGGTGCAAACAATCTTCTTCCTGTATAAAACCAAGCACATTTATCTACAACTGGTGCAACAGCTTCTTCCAGACAACACACCGAGGTCAAAAATAGTGATGCAGTCCTTCCTACAATCTAGCAGGTTTAAGGGGTACCATTCAAATAAAGAATGCAACACCATTTTTTCAACAAGGTATTGAGACATTAAAAATTTATTTTGTAAAAACGATTAATTAATAGCCATTAACATTGGATGGAAATAAAACCTTTAAGAAAACATAATACTCATGTGACTGGAGTAGAAAAAATTAAGGATGCTGCCTGCCAAGTCCCTGTCTAGAGCTAAATTAAAGGTTATGAGTTGTGCAACTCTCTTTAAGTTTGGTATTAACACAGAGTACAGGCATCATCTAGAATATTGTGGTCTTTGATTCGTTTACTTTCAAGAAGTTTATATAATCCAAGACTTGCCTTTGGTTGACTCAACTCTACACAAGCTTATAAACACAACAGGCTTTGTTGTCACTGCCATCATATCGTTTGTGAGATCTCTAGCTCTGCACTCTACCTCATATCACTGGAGCTAGTGACAAAAGCATAGAGGAATGGCAACAATCTCAGACACTGTAAGGCTTCAATAGTATGGTCACTGTGATAGTGGTCATGGGTACTGTTGTCACAGTTGTGTTGCTTCAGCAATCGTCATGTTAACTGTGGTAGTGGTTGTCACACTGGCAAGTCTATGGGGAGCAGAAAGGACAAAACCAGTGGCATGGCTTGTATCCTAAGTGATTACTACAGTACATGTGGTGAGACTAGTTTCCTTGTTATCCCTATGTACAGATGCAAACCTCTATCAGTCAATGAGTTGATACTTTCTTTAAATTTATTCTTAACAGCCCATGGAAAGTTCTTATAAACTAATGCATATTTGCAACATCTAGAATTTGTTTCTCTTTATACAGACAGAAAATTGCAGTCACACAACAGATTTACAGAGTGAACTAGAGCACAAAGAGGGACTTCTTCTTGAAAGAAGAGAAGTGACAACCCTGACAGTGGGCCATCACTTCCCGACAAACAACCGACAGTGCAAATTAAGATCGGTATCCATGCTTGTCGGGCAGGGCTGCATGCAAGCTTTGCAGCATCTCCACTACATTACTCAGCTACACATTGCTCAACAACCCAGTCTAACAAAATGGCTTGCTCGAAGGAGTATTTTCAGATTTACAATATTGATAGTAAAGAACATTCAACAACTTGATAAACTTTCTTCTTCAGAGCTGAAAATAGTAACAGTAACCACCAGCACCCTGTGACATTTGGTATTGCTCTCAATTCCACTTCCTCCCTCAACACATCTCCATGTCCGAGGCCCTGCCATCTTGCTATGGACTGAAGAGGAGGGAGTGTCTTCCTTTTCACTATTGCTGTGGTTACAAAAGTAATATTAACAGTGTCAACTTCAACATGATGATCCTAGTTGCTAGCAGGAACAAGAATTACACCAAGATAAAGTTGATAACAAAACCTCTCGATTCAAAGACGATAGAAGTCGAGAGGCCTGGTTGGGTTTCATGCACCGCACAGAGCCATTAGCATCCAGTTTACTCCTTACATACTTTCAAAGAAGATTCAACATGAACTCTATATCTACTATTTTGAATCCTGGCACTTGACTTTTAAACAAGGGGAGGCAAAAGGAGAAAGAATCATTTCCACACAGTTCAACATTGCTTTCAAACAAGGCTATGGCCTCCCCTTTTAAAAGACACTTGGCATAATGTCATATCTTTCTTCATCTTGAAGTTACAAGCTAAATTATCTTACAATAATTACATGCATAAAGATCTCAACTCTTGTTGCGTCGTCCAGCTTATCACCACAACCACTGCAACTACCTCATCTAATTTGTCTTTTGAAAAATTAATGAATTACACTGTCAGTTCAGTTCCACATTACATGAACTTGCACCACACAGGTGACCAGATAGTGCAACGGACGATGCCAGATGGGCGGAGGAATAAAGACATGAGGATGGCAACAGCAATGAACTTGGATAGGTTTGTAGAGGGAGGAATCTGGAGACAGAGTCGAGGTAAGACAAAATAAAAGGGGAAGTGGAAAACTTCATCTTGAATTGGATGTTGCCATCATAGAGTTCATTTTGGAGAAAGGTGTTCTTACATTTGAAGTCTGTTCTTAGTAGGCTGTAATGAATTTCACGGGTGGTGCATTCAACAAAATAATAAATATACAAGAACACAATGATGAATGCAAGGCGCAGATCTTGGTCTGACTTGTTCCTCTTGGCTGTCATCACACCGCTGCCACCACCACCACCACCACCACCGCTGCCACCACCATTACCAACACCACCACTGTGTCTGGCAAGTCTAACGCCAGGGCAGGGATGGGGCAGGATTGCTGGGACAGGACATGGGCAAAAGGATTACACTGCAGTTTCAGTGTGACTGTGAGATGACAAACGTTCCACATCGATTTCAGGAATCGGCAATTCATCCATGACATTATCTGCATACTCAATGGAAGAAGTCTGGGATAATCGCTTACTAAGAGAAGACTGCTTTCGGAGAGCCTCAGCCAGGGTGGCAGTGTCACCATACCGTGCATCTAGACCCTGACGGAAAGCATTAACTACTCGTATCTGAAACCAACAAGAAACAAGAAAAACAGAGGAAATTAAAAAAAAAATAAACATTTATGCTTTTGGAATAATAAAACATCAACATGCTTGGAATTCTGATTCACACACAACAAATTTATTCACCCTTAAAATTTCATGCTGTGGTTCCTTTGCCCTACCAGCCATGCCAATGTGACCATCCAACACCTGTCTTTATAAGATACAGACCCATACTTTTTATCATTGTGCCATACAGTGATCAATTTATTAAGGTGTCTGTGGAAGTGCTGTAGTAAAGAGTATGGCTCCATATTTCACAGTACATACCATAACACAATGTAATATCACCATGGACTTATACTAAACAAAGGTGGAAAAATGAACAAGGTGCTCAATATTATTTACAAAACATATTCTGATTAAAAAAGAAAACCAGATTTCACACATCACTGTTTCATTATTTGCATCTATCTTATACCATATTCATCACAGTGCAAGTCCCTTAATTTTAAACTATAATACAGATTACAGTTTTCCTGTGTAACCTGTCAATGCTGTACATTGAAGGTTAACCAGAGAAATTAATTATGGTGAAACAGAAAAGCAGCATTCTTAGTTGGCAGACCATTTAAGGTAATTTACAAATATTAGAGCAAACATGGAAATACTCAATCCTGTACAGATGGTTTTGTTTATTCCCTAATGTATATTTACCACAAGAAACTTCAGCTCGTAGCATATTTTTGAACTCCACAGATTGAAAGCATACACACTGCACAGAACACACATCCCATAGCTCATATTTAAAATACTGTCACGTGTTGGGTGTATAACGCGCGACAAGTAACTTCACGCCGTATTGGATATAGCAAATTTATTGCACATTCGCTCTTACAATATCACAATTTACAATTTCACAATTACTGCCATCGGCAGTATCACAAATACTCCGATGAAAGATAGACAGCTATTGACTGGTTACTCTTTCTCTAATAACTCACTCACTAGTAACTGCTACTCACAAACTGGCTAACTATTGACTGAATACTGACTGACTACTCACTCCCTGGCTAACTCGTAACTAATTGTTGAATAGTGTTCGCTGCTCCTTATTTAGCCCCATGATGGACAACACAGAAAATAGTTATGTAATGGGCACCACTGTTGCGTAACATCATGTTTACCGACTGCCTAGGAATAGTCGTTGCACGGACTCCCCGCCATGTTTACAAAGGCGTTGCTGGGCTTCACTGCTGGGAGTTGTTTATGGCTACGGAGCAACTGTGGCATCCCGTGTTACATCACCGCGGGGAAAGGGGTGTCTACCGAGTGTTGCACACTGATGGACAGAGTGGGGGTATGTGATGTCACTCGCGACATGACAGAGTTCACGCGACCCCCACCTCCCGCTATGCTATCCATGTCACAATACTAATTACTTACAGTCACATATTAACAACAGTCAATTCTGTTCTTGATAATGACTTTTATTAATGGTGAATACATAAAAGTTGGAAAATGTCTGAACTCAGTATCACCTAACAAAAATTTCACACAAGTCTGAAGCATATTACACTTCTTTACTTTCACAGATACTGCTAGTTGACAAGAGACAAGTTCATTCCATTAATTACATCATGCACACAAAATTATTTACTTGTATGTTACAGATTATCAGCACCATCCTATCCAGAGCTCTGGGCCCATCTATAGCACCGTAGCTTTGGCCCACATCTACCTCCTTTATCTTTACTTTTATTTAGATACTGATCATATACATATATATCGTTGCGTGTCGCGTCACAGTAGGAATCGGTGCCACGTTGCTGTGTTTGCGTATAGCCTAGCAACACTGTTACCTCACGCCGTCTTACGTCACCGAGCGGAGAGGGGGGGTGACGGAGCGCTGACTCATCCGCCACGTCACTGTGGGGGGGAGGGGTTCTCCTCCATTGCGCAACATGTCACAATATATAAACATACATCTGGGTGAAAGCAAGAGCAATGTAAAAACATAAAGCGGATTGCAGTACCAAATGGGGCTCTCTTATTGCCTTCCATTACATATGCCAAGAAGTATTTTAAAGCAATGTTTCTTTTGCTGTTCATAACTGACAATCTGATTTTTCCATTGTCATTTTCACAATCTTTTCATTCATTCATTTATTCAGCATTCCATATCCTTACATGGTTAAACACCAATGGATATAGAAATAGTCAACATGAGTAAACATCACATACTGCATCAAAATTGTGTAATGTCATATCAGTTAAAAATATTAACAATAAACAATTTGAACAAAAACCATCATCTGTAACACCTGTGCAAACAAAAGTTATACCTTCACAGTAGATAGTCTGTAATTTGTGACTATTATGAAGAACAAATGATGAAGTGAAGAAAAGAATCAATACCAGAAGTGAGGACACCTGATATAATTCACACTTCAGGTTTCATTTACATAAAATAAAATGTTAAAAATAAATACAGAAGTTTAAAATATGAAAACAATAACATATATGTAAATGAACTGTCACTCAGTCCACAGGGGCTTCAATATGTTCAAGAAAATCTCTTAAAACCAATATTATCGTTTCCTTACACAACACTGACCAGTGAGTAAAATTTTGCCATTGACCCTGTTATCTGTAAGACTGTGTGAACAGTCTCACAAACTCATGTACAGCGAGTTTATTAACTTTCAAGAGAAATGTAAATAATCTTTTATTCATTTAGATTTAATAAAGAATATATTAAATCAATTTCCAACTAGAAGGAGCTCACTATTCAGCTTTCATTATTAATATACAGACTCTTTATTGGAAGAGAACCATTAAATGATAGCTACTTGATGATGCTGGGTAAACTGAATATGAAAAGAACAGCTAGAACATATGGCAAAATTGGTATAAATGAACAGTGTCTTCCATTTTGATTTCCTTCTTTCAGTCTTCTTTAATATTATTCATTACATGACCATGTTGCATTTCACTAATAAGAATTCTACATATATAATGCTGGATAAAGAAATTAGCTGCATATGTAAACAAACTATTTGTTACAAAACACCTTTTTTTCTGGATGGAATCTTATAAGCGCAGTTTCTACTCACATTTATACATGCACAAACATATAACAACAAACATGCACATTTATTACTGTGCAACATTCCCCAACACTTAGTGCCTATTACAACAATTTCAAATGTGGTCTTAACTATCCTAATGAACTACTGCAGCACCAGCAATATATTCCCCAAGTGAATAATAATCAGTGTTTTGAATCTCACATATATAATGCACAGTCTGTCTCACATCCATTTCAACAGTAAGTGTTCTACTCCTCCTTACCTGGTTTCACTATATATGTCTATTTCCATATTTTATGGGATAGAAGTCAGTATTTAGACTCTGGCTGTTCATTAAATAATATATTATTTTTATCACAATATGACTATTGGTTAATCCACTATTTCTTTCAATAATGAAGTATGCATTGCCATAAAGCATCACACACTACTAACAAGTTTACCCCATATCAATTTGAAATCACTAACCCTTATTTTACAGAAAATACACTACTCATATCAACATATTTATCTTATTGCTATAACAATGTAAAGTTAAATAATGATTTTATCCATACACATTCCTATATAATAAAATTACATATTCTGTATGAGTTCTATACAAAACACTGTTGCCATTAACCATGCATTAGCAGAACACCTCATAAAAATGAACAGATAATAAACAATGACAATGACTAATATACATGATATTTATTCTAATGTTACTTCTCCCCTTTATTATTTCTGTCCCTGTCATTCAGTACTCTTCATGTTCAGTTAAATATAAAATCTATATTTAACAGAAAACTAATATCAATGGAAAAATAATGCAACACACGTATTAATATGTCAACAGCAGAATTGTGTGACATAAAATTGTAGTTAAAGAATGTATTGCCCATTTTAAGGATTTAATTCTAGGCCCTTCAGCATCATGATTTCTCTGCAGGTTGTCATTTCCAGCATCACTAAAGTGTGAATTTAACTTGACTGAAATGGAGTTGTAACAACTCATCTTAAAAGAGATATTTCAGTATTTACCTATGCTAACGGTGGGGACAGAAAAAGAAATATACAAATGTAAAGACCACAATTGCCTTGGATATGATTCAGTGTCTTTCTGCCAGCAGAATTAATCTTGCTATTCAATATATGCATTCAGGAAAACTGACCACACTTTTGTCTTTTTTCTATTTAAGTCACATATTAATGGAGTAAGGTGATTATCTGAGAATCTGTCAAAAACTCTTCAAGCAGGAGGGACGTGTTCCTTACATTACTTTTACCACTTGTGTTTGAACTCAAGATGCAAGCCAATAGCCTATACACATTAAATTTTCTCCTCAATATTACCTCAGTGAACTGATGGACAACTACTGAAAAGTGAACTTGTGGGTTACATGCCTACTGGCCATAATCCTGAGCCCCTGCTACTGCATTACACATTGCCACTTTATTGCTTGTGACAAAATGCCACTTGGCACTGACACACACTGAAATGCATGTTCATCATGTATGATACCCATGTGGAAAGTAAAGAGATGATTTGGGAATAAATTTCAGGATATTACAGTTCCAAATACAATCATAAATAAATTTAGAGAGACAGGGGCATTGCTGCACAAAAAGGAACATTATCGAAAGTCTGAGGATTCAATGAAGAGAAACTAAATGAAACACTGCTAGGCTTGACATTCGCTTTCAAAATCTCATAGCCACCTGACAAAGAAGACTTGCTGAAGGTTTTGAGTTTTAATTTTTCTGCGGATCAAAGAGAAACTTCAACTTGTGAATGCAGACATTTTAATTGGGTGACAAGGATGCCTGTGTAACAGCAGGGAGCATTTCTGGCATTTACTACGATCTGGGTAGATTTTGTTTCTAATTCATTGACCAATGGGCTTGTCAACTGTACCATGGGTCAGGATATGCATGACCCAAGTTGACATA